CTCCTTCCTCTTTGCCATCCTCTTCTTCTTCTTCTTCTTCTTCTTCTTCTTCTTCTTCTTCTTCTTCTTCTTCTTCTTCTTCTTCTTCTTCTTCTTCTTCTTCTTCGTCATCATCATCATCATCATCATCATCATCATATACTTCTTCTTCTTCTTCTTCTTCTTCTTCATTTGTCCCCCCACGGTGGCTGAGATCGGCCCCTCCTTTGTCTTCGTTGTCTATATTGGGACATTGGCAGGTTCGTTCATTCTCTCCTCCTCCCAGTCCCCATTCCTCTCGACGTCGTGTTGATGCTAATCTGCGGGGTTCTTTGTCTTACCGACAGCCTTCTCTGCCACGTCGACRGCGTTCGTCATTCATGCGCCGACCCCGCCAGATCAGACCTAGCTTTCCAGTGGTGACCGAATCGGATCTGCGGGCAGATCTACCGAATGCTTGTGGGTTGACAGCCACAAATGTCTGCCTACAGGCTTATCAGCGTCAATGTTAAACTGCTTCCCATTTTGTTACAATTGCTTATCAGCTTGATGCTGTTGAAAATCAGTTGTTGTATGATCATAATGGTCCACCTCCTGAAGGTAGTAATTATACTACATCAGGAGGCTTTACTGTAAATGTCTTACAGTTAGCGTTTCATGGTCGCCACCTTCTTATGCATCATGCGACGCCAAGCGATGACCTTAATGACCATCCTCATATTTCTGCCTGTATTTTACACAGACCCGGGCATTATATGGCACTCATTCGTGCAGCTGCCCAGTGGGAACTGTGGGATGGTGGGACAATGATTCAGGCTATTTTCAATATAAATGAATTTCTGTGTGCTTTACCAAATCGTACTTTATTCTGGATTATTGATCGACTCTCGTGTGACACCTGTCGGGACAGGGACGCGGTGCGTCTTGGCTGCGGTTCATCACCTATGCCATCAACGTTAATCAATCTATTGCAGCCGCCGCCGTCTGTGCCGAAGGGTGTCCAACATTTCCTCATTGTACACATCCCTATCACCCAGATATTCGCTGTCCCTTTTGTGCTCAAGGACGCTATCAGGACTGCATGATGCCGCACTGTGATGAACGTCCTGCTGTTTTTTTGACATGTGGACAGCATGTCCTTTGTCAGGACTGTTTTGATGGGATGGTCCGTGCTAGCCGTCCTGCTGAATGCTGTGCTGAAGTAGCTCTCCTTGGGTATCCTTGTGAACATCCACGTCATCCTCAGCTTGCCTGTCCTATCTGCCATGGTGGGGGCTCCTCTTCTTGACGGGTCAATAAAATTAAGCGATCAGGAGCAACACTAATTGTAGGACAGATAAAAGAAAGGAAGAGAAATAGTACAAATTTCTGGAGACAAGAAAAAAAGAAAACAAGGAAAAAGGAAAAAAGAAAAAAATATGTTGAACTTTGTAGTGACAGTGGCAATTGGTTTATCTGTGGGATGTGTCATTTGCTTTCTTCCTTTGTTTTTTCTTCGACCTTTCTCTTTCTCTTGCCTCTGTGAGGTCTGGTTTCCTCCTCCTTTTCCTTACCTTGTTACGTTTTGGCTGCGTGCAAGTGGGTCCTCGTGACACACGGGGACGACGGGGGCAGCCAGCGCTCAACCTGTCATCCACGTGGCTGGCCTTGTACGTAAGAGGTGATGAACTTCTTTTCCTTTCCTTGTTTTGCCTTTTTTTCGCCTTCGCGCTCTGATTCACAGTGTGACAATATATATATTTTTAACCAAACAAGGTCACCCGGGCGGCCCGGCTGGTAGCCTTTTTATATTTTTATTTTTTTTTTCTTCCCTTTTTTTTTTGTCTTCCGGTGAGGGGGGGAGGGGAAGGGGTTGATGCCCTTTTTTTTCCCCCTTTCTTTGCCAGTGATATCCCAAATGTTTTTGCACAGCGCCAGCTCGGCTCTTTTGGCGCGCAGCAGAAATCGGCCTCGGGGAAAAGAGGCTCAGGCACAGCCAAAATGAGAGTTGTGTTCGTGGGAAGATGGTAGCCAAAACCTCAACCTGTGCTGAATTGCCCTTACTGAAAAGGCGCCCTTAAAAGCAACCACATCTCAATCGCAATTGCAATCGCAATCGCAATCTCAATCGCAATCCCAGACCGGCCCCTGCACGCTGGCCCTTTCAGCCCTGCCTTGTGTGAAATGCTCAGAATCCTCGTGCCAATGCTATAAGCTGGCACTGCGCAGTCCCGAATGCTTCAACTCGAGTTGGCTTTTTTCTGTAGGGTCGTTGCCCGCTGCGCCACCGACACTCTTCAGCAGGTCTCCTGAAGTTATTGCAATCGCTCACTGATCTCTCCTAAACAGCGACCTCCACACTCCGCGCCACCAGCTTTCCACCGAAACTTTCAGCAGTTCGCCTGAAGCTATACCAATCGCTCACTGATCTCTCCTAAACGGCCACCTCTGCACTCCGTGCCAGCGGCTCTCCACTGAAACTTCAGCAGGTCTCCTGAAGTTATCACAATCGCTCACCGATCTCTCCTAAACAGCCACCTATGTACCCCCCGCCACCGACTCTCCACCGAAAGCTCAGGAGGTCTCCTAAACAGCCACCTCCACACTCCTAAACTATATCTTAAACAGTTGGTCTCCTGAGCAGCCACTTCTGCACTCCTAAACGGTCCCTAAACAGTCTGCTACCGCCTTCACCTGAATAGAACACCAGGTCTTTATAGCTGTATTTAATGCAAAATCCAGTCCTCATACGACCATAATTACCGAGCCTTCTCTTCGGATGAGGACGGTGGTCTGTGTTCTAAACAGTCTGCTAAACAGTCGGCTGAACAAAAGGCACTATAGCGAAATTCCAAACGTTATTGCAAAGACCAACGTGCCTATCTCAGTTGGTACACCCATCAACTGTCGAAATATGAACCAGACCCAAGTTCGAATCCAGATACACTACCAGATGAGCAAAATATAATCATTTTGAATTGCCTGGGGACGGTGAGTTCAATCATGCATGATACCTCGAGGCCGTCGTCCTTTTTGGAAAAGAAGAAACCAAAAAAAAAAAGGGAAACAACAGCAACAACAACAACAAAAAACGTTGTTGCTAAAGAATAGAGCGACACGTGAGAGCGAAGTCAGGGAAGAGAAGAGAAGAGAAGAGAAGCTCAGCTGTTTCGCGCTCCGGTTTTGCGAGCGGTAGGTTGTGACCTCGATTCCAGGTTCCGCTCATGCGCTTTCTTGTGTGGATGCTGCGTAGCGTCCAAAGTACCGGTACGACAGGGCCGACAGGGCTCTCTCGAACATGAGTCAATCAGGGCTGAATGAGAGAGAACCTGCTGTGGGCTGCGGCCACTTTTGTCTGCGCAGGTCATCCCACTGAGAAGAATAGAGGGGTGACTGGCTTGAGTGGTAGACCCCAAGGTATAAGACTGGGGGAGTGGGGGTGCACCAGGGAGGTTTGACGATAGGGGGAGAGGGGGGGGTGTCTCGTGAGGGGGGAAAGACCTAATTGTGAAAAAAAGAAGCAGCAAAAGAGAAGAAAAGAAAAAAAAAGAAAAGGGCTGTTGGCAGAATAAAAAGGAGCGGTGACTGTAAAAGCCTGTGTAAGTTTTTTTTTTTTTGGTTTAAAATTTTAAGAAAAGCAAATGAAGTCCTTCGGGACATCTGTTAAAATTGGAACGATACAGAGAAAGAAGATTAGCATGACCCTGCGCAAGGATGACACGCATAAACCGAGAAATGGTCACAAAAAAAGAAAAAAGAACAGAAATGATAAGAAATAGAAAAAAATGGCTGCTTGTTTACCACTAACATTGATTTGTTTAAAAAAAAACAACAACATTGGTTTGTTTGGGTAGACAGTGCAGGCGAGCAGCTGGAGTTCCTTTTGGATGCAGTGGGAAATAGTGGGAGGGAAAAGCGGCACTTGGTGAAGCAAATGAAGTTTCTGAAGAGTGAGTGTGTGACTACCTTCATCATCATCGTTATTGTATCTATTTTTAGAATTCGATATTTTATTATTTAAATAAATTTAAGTATTTTCAAATTTCAGTTCTATTTGCAATTTGGAATCTCATCGCACCAAATAATTATCGTTGGCAATGTGTATTTGACAGTTGTTAATACCTCCTCAGTTTTATTCTGTTTATTAAAATTTATTTATTGCTGCTTGCTGATGAGGAGTTGTGTAATGTTTTCCGAATGGCGTGGGTGAGTAATGGTCTGCCTTGGTTTTCGTCACAGGTAATTTGAGGGTAGTGGTTGGTGGTCCCCACCTCCTCAGAGGGGTGTCAGTTTTCGGGCAGTCTTTGATGCGTAACCGCAACCGGGGTTGAGGTGGATTATCACTTTTGGTATCGTTGGTGAAGCGGATTCTGCCGCAGCCTGTCGAGGGTTCAGCCTGCTGATGAGTCAGTTGGTGAAACTCCGACGAAACAGTCTGTCACAGCCGCCCCCCGGTTTCTTGTCGCTTTCTCCCTTTCTGCCTACCGTTCGCCGGGCAGTTCTCTGTGGCGGTAATAGCCGCGGTATATGTATAGAATTATTAGAATATCATTTAAATGACTTAAGTAGTTAAGTGTACAAGTTTAATTACAGAAGCAATAAGGGTGAGGAGTCTAAAAAAAAAAAAAAGGAAAAAAAAGTTGAGTAGTCTAAATGAGTTTAAAGCGTGTCTCAAAACGAATGTTAATCGGCAAAGGTCAGCTTTCTGTTTTTTTTTAAGAAAAAAAGAACTAAAAGGCTATATTCCTACCTATATGCAGGGTACAGGAAACACAGCCTTCAATCTACTTGCCAGTGCTAAAAGCTATCCCTAAGGTTATGCGTCCACGCCTAACCTACCTGACTCTTCTCTGTTGGGGGTGCATCACCCAAGCTCATAACACCTGGCGCGTGCTCGAAAATCGGGACAACTACCACAACCAGCCAGGGGGCACAAGCCGACTTTCTCAGCCTGTGAAACCGTAGTCTGCCACACAGTGGGTCGTGGGGAACCGAACGGATGCCGTGGGAAACCTAACCCACCACCTGCTGTTTAGTACTCACGTGCTCAACTAACTGCGCTAGGCCGCTTGGCAAAAAAGGTCAGCTTTCTTTTGTTGCGGGAAAGTCATAATTCAAAGACAGTAGCAGCAGACTACCCTCGGAAGCTGACTATCTTTTCTTTTTTTTTTTTTTTTTTTTTTTTTTTTTTTTTTTTTACGCCTTCAGATGAATTTTTTTTCTGCAACCGCGACTTTTTTTTTATGTTCACTGCAGGGAAAGGTAAAACAGACAAAAAGCTGCAATGCACAGCCACAGCTGCAACCGAACAGTGTACAGAAGAATTGTATGGCCGTCGTGGAGTGACTTTAGGGAAGTCGGGAAGAGGAGACTGGTCGGCTCAAATTCACGAAGAGTTAAGGAAGCAGTGGGTTGAGTAGATCGGCGGTACGCCACAGACAATGTGTCTGTCGTTGCAGTACAGGCTATATCCTACCTCCTTCGCCTTCACACAACACGCAGCTTCTCCCCCCAAACATAACACGCTTTCTTCCACCAACCGCAACACAGCCTCATCGTGGGATCCTGAATGATAGCTTTATAAATTTCTGATCGGAGTTTGTTGTACCTGCAGAACGACGGTGGTACGCGTGTTTGTCCATCGAAAGGGTTGTGTATAGCTGCTGCTGCTTTAAATGAGGATACAAAAGTCGTAGTATAGCCCGGAGAGGGTTTTTTTAGGGTGTTTATCCATGGAGATTCGCGTGTTTGTTTGTCCTCTGGGAGGGTTATTTATTTATAGCCTGCTTCGAGGCAGATGTGACATGGTCAAGGAGAGAATTGAAAGTCCTTGTATGCGTGTTTGTCCACGCAGAGGGTTATTTATGGCTGCTTGAGTGGTGGCCCCAGACCTCAATTTGAAAGCCTTCTCCATTATTTTGGAAGTTTGACGATGATGTTGTGTTGGAAGACAGAGTAATGGAGATTTGTTGTTTGGTGTTTTCGTTTGTGTGGTCATGTGTTATGTCACCGATCGGGGCGGCGTGAATGCCGTGAGCGCGCGTGGATGCGCAAATTGTTTGGGACGACTTGCAGAACTGCAAGCAACCCAAGAAGCATTGGCGGCAAAGAAACAGATTGGAAAGGTGAGATCCAGGAGGCAGTTTATTTCGATCAGGAGATTCCTTGATTGCCGCTGAGCCTGACATCAGCAATCGTCAATAAGTTTGTTTCGACTGATTGTTGTTGACGTCAGCAGCAATCCTTTCCACTTGGTTAGCTGCGGACCTTGATTGCTCACAATAGTAATTAGTGGAAACGTCAGCGATGAGGTTGTTTCCACGGATTGCTGACGATGGTGGTTGCAGCGACTCCTTACCCCGTGCTGCGATCGTTGGCAATCGTATTAAATGTGTCGTGTGGGCGAGAACTCGGTACCTTTTTTCTTCTCCGTGTGCTTTTTCCTTCATAAACTATCTTCTTCTACCTGCACTTCTTTTTCCCTTCTTTAAGGGACATGCTAATCTTCCCTATATCATTCCAATTTTAATGGATGTCACACGGATATGGATGTCAGCGACCTTCTTCTCCTGAGCATAAAAGCCATATACATGTAGTAACGGCATGAGCCACACATTCGTGTGGTGCGTTTTTCTGTATGGCGTGCGGGGGGACGTCCAATCTCTGCACAGCACACACCCTGTCTCTTATACACATCTAGATGTGTATAAGAGGGAAGGATGACCCTGCATGGTAGGGGACTCGAACTGTGGATGTAGTGGATGTAGTGGTGTGTTTGACTGACTGATTGCCATTTTGGATTGTGAC